GGCCCCTCCAGCATCACCATGATGGGACTAATATCCCTGTGGAGATCTGAGTTATAACAAGTTGACCTTCACATTAAAATCTCATCAACTTCCCATCTCCCTGTCTACTTCCCTCCCTTCTCTATCTGCCCTTCATCTCTGTTCCCCTCTGTTTGTCTTTTCTGTCAGTTCTGCACTGTAAATGCTTTACTGCATCGTTGTACATCATTCTTCAATAATCACCTGTCCAAATTTATTGTGTTGCTTGTATCTCTTTGAAATACTCCTGTTGCTGGCTGTTGATATGTGTAGCTTGTCTTCTCCCGGCCTCTACATCAGTATTATGATCTGATTTACACTTATACAGTATTTTCTATGCTAATGGTGTTCAGGCAGTGGACATGTAGGAGTATAATTTTGAGTGGACTATATCATATAAAAGCATATTTTAATGAAAAAAAACCTTCTTGATCTTTGTGTTGATTTATTTCTTTATTTTAAAAAAAGCCATTGTTCATACTTGCTTACGTTAAAGTGACTTTAATCTGAATATACCTGAGGTAGATATGTTTGTAATGACAGATAAACCTTCTTAATAGTCTGGGATATGTTTCTAATCTGCAGTGCAGACCTGAAGAGTGTCAAACAGAAAATAAAGCACGTAATGACACTTTTCCTCATCAGCCTGTTTCTTTTACATCTAAAGCTGATTCTTAACTTCCATCACAATCTTTTCTCTAGCACTGACAGCATCAGCCTTGGTGTAACTGAACCACCAGCGCTCAGTGGTTGGAGTTGTATGTGCAGTCCATCATTCACTGTCACTCTGACACGATATCATCCCCCTCCTTCGCCACTGCCTCCTCTGCTTCTATCTCTATCCTTCGTCGCTCCTATCGCGCCTCAGTCTCTTATTCTCGCCCCCCTTAATCTCTCACTCTCGTTCTCGCTCGTGCCCTGAGGTCAGAGTGTGCTGTAGACTATTGATATCGTTGCTAAAAATATATGAATCCTCCACCAGCCAGCTAAAAATAGAGTAAGGGACACAGACCACAGGAGACAAAGAAGGAGGGGACAGGAGGAGAACGTGAAGGAGAGGTTACTACACGTTTTTCTGATATTCATCAGTACTGTGGGGTTGAATGAAAGTCCTTATTCAGTCGTTAGTTATCTACTGTGCGATACTGAGGGTAGGTAATCTATCGTTTGTGTTTATTTTCAAAACTCCACACAGCAAATGTGTGAAATTTGGAGTTTTTCACCCTTTCCATCCCTAAAGATACTCACTAATGAGTCCTCAACTTTTTTCGTTCAGCTTCTCTTGGCTGGAAAACGTTATATTTATTATATAGTTATATATAATATTGTATATTACTGTTCATCATGTGAGAAAATTATTGCAAAGTTTACCACATGGACGTTATTTATTCCCTTAAAATCATTTTAAAAGATGTGACATCAAGTAATTTATAGAAACTGTATGCTCATGGCAGCTTCTGTGAAGGTTGCTGGGACAGTTTCAAAGAGTTTTAAAGAGTGAGTACAAAAGCAAGTATTAAAAAAAAGCCTATATTATTTTCTTTAAATGTGACAACACATCCAGAAAAATTGATGTTAAAAAGGATGAGTGAGTATTACTATACAACAGTTTATACAGTGAAGTGCGATATGACATCACTCCACTCCACCTCTCTCTCTCACACACACATACTCACATATACTTTCTCTCTTTCTCTCTCACTCTCTCTCCCTTCGACACTTTTACCCCCCCTGCTCCCGCTACAGTATGTCTCTTTGGTAACCAAAGTAGCTTCCTGAACCGATCCACCGCAGTGCCTGGGACAGACGGAGTGAAAGAGAGAGTGAGGAATTTTAGAGGATGGGTAAGGGGGCTTAAGGGAAAACACACAGAGGAGAGAAGAAGACAGGGAGAGAGAGAGAGAGTAAGAAGGAAAGGGGAAAAAGGAGAGAAGAGAGTGAGAGGAGAGACAAAACCCCAGCAAGCCTCCCTGGTGTGAGGTTTCTTGGCTTACTGACGTGTGCGCACGACTCTCGTGGCACGGTGAGTATTTCCCCCTCTCATTGAATACCTGCATTTATGCGTCTTTTCGTAGGAATTATAATCATGACTCCCCGTTTTGTTTCGTCTTTTTAACCCGACTTAAAATGTACGTGCCTGTGTGACAGCTGTGAAAAAGAGCTGAATTCATAAGTCGTGTTAGCGTAAAGATAGCCGCTCGTGCTCCGGTGAGAGCGCACGCGAGGTGGTGGTGGGGGGCAAAAAATGTTCTTACCTGACAGCTAAGTCGTTGAGCAGCTCTATTTATTTTACCCATTCCAGTTTTTCAACGTTAGTCGCTCACATGTTCCCTGCTCTGTGTTTATCATCTCAAAACTCCGCGTGTGAGTGCGTGTGACAGCTGCGGGGGTGGGGGGCTAAACAAACTCGTATAGATGCTCGTGTGACTGCCTCACTCAGTACTAGGGTGTTCTTTTGCGGGTACGTGAGAGTATAGTGGCAGTGTTTATCTATCCGCTTTGCACCGTGAAAAAAAGAGAAAGAAATGATGCGAGTGGATTGTCAGAGTGTGTCTGCGCAGAAACCACGAGCAAAACCTTCCACTGAGTCATGGTATCCACGTTTAGTTCCCGTGAAGTCTTTTATTTCCTAATGAGTGGTTTCATTGATTTCTCCAGGGCTGACAACCAGTGCACACCTTTTAATTCGGGGTACGCGCACTCCCGTCGTGCGCGTCCATGTCGAGTACTCCTTCCATTTTTTGGGCCAAGGTCTTTTCTCGTGTTAACCTATATCTTCTCGATACACTCCTTCTGTGCCTGTCGTTAAAAGATCTCTCCACACGTAGTTCGTCCCCATCTTCTCTTCTTTCTGCTGCTTTTGCTTTCGTTTTATTTAAGCTGGGTTGTTTCTTTCACATCCTCTCCTCTTTTCCATCACTGCCTCTTTCTTTCTTGGTGTCTCTTTCCTGAGAGGCTTACAGGTGATGTCAGTCTGCAGATTGTGACAGATTGGAGTGAATTAAACCTTTTGTCCCCCTTGTGGCTCCTATCTAGCCAATTCAATTGGCTCATTGCTTTCAGGATGAAGGAGCTGAGGGGCTGTGTCAGAGCACTAAAATGGGATTGTTATCACAAATCTAACAGGAAACTGATTTTTTTTCTCCTTTGCTCTTTTTTTCAAACTCAAACCCAATCTTAAGTCTGAGTGCTTATTTCTTCAAAAGCCACAGCAGCCCTTTAGAAGATTTCTGGCACAATAAATCAGTGCTTTTAATTTTTAATCCCAATCTCTTACGAGCCAGCAGGTCGTATTTTTGTTGTTGTTCTTGGATTTCAGTGTGTTTCTATGACTTTGTGCTCAAAAACAGGGTGCTGTCCGTGGTGCTGAACAAGTCTGAAAACAGGGTGCTGTCCGTGGTGCTGAACAAGCCTAGGAGAGCAACTCGGGCACATCAACTCGTTTGTGCAATTTTGCAACTCCACTTTGATTCACACTCGTTTCTGACCACTCTGGCATTTCCTCCAACAAGTTGGGAAGTGTGATTATTTCTTCGTGAGCCCACTCCTCTGTGCCCTCTGATCTTATCTTTATACCTCATCGGTCTATCCCTCCAATCATGCTGTGTCATTTCACGGAGTTGTTTTTGAGTTCACGGTGACCCTGCCTTGAACTCTTTAACTTAAACTTTTCAGCACCAGTCGACTGTTACTGTGGCAGCGGGAGCTGAAATTGGCCTGCCGTGTGATTTAGACCCCCCAGTTAAAGAAGGAAAGTTAAGACCAGGGCAGCAGGAAACTCATGTGCAGCTTAAGCCCATGCAAATCCTCAGTTGTTCCCTTGTGTGGCAGATGACAGTGCCAATTTGTATCCTGCCCTTTATGTATCTTGTAAGTTTTCCTTTTAATCTCAGTGGCTTTCCATCTTTCATGTGTTTGTCTGACTGGACTTTTTGTGGTTGTGGTTCCTCACTTCTGTCTGCCCCATTAGTAATGCAATCCTTACTTCATCTGCTTCTTTCATCCTTTCAGATGCCCAAACTTGTCATTTCTCAGACTATTTCTCTAATGTGTACCCTCTACCATCACCCAGTTCTGTTCTTACACATCATTATTGTGCCTAGCGCACAAAAGAAACTCTATTCATCCCTGCTGCTGCATAGAAACCGAGGGAACTTAGTGGTCACATCTCCCACAATGGGTGTCCAGATAAGACGAGACCAGGCTTAATCTTTAAGAGTTTGTTCCCCAGTAGACTACTTTTTCTTGTAACCAGACTTCTCAAAGACTCAAAGGTTTGTCATACAAAGAGAGAGCAGAATAATAAAGTGGTTCTCATGTTTTAGTCATTATTTGACATTAAAGTTTCTGTTGTCACAGCCGTCGGAGGTGCACGATAAATGGCCCACGCTGTTAAATTAATTTGCGACCCTGAGCGTTACTTTTTTAAGTCATTATTTTATGCAGATGTATTGTCGTATGTTTAATAGGTGTGAATAATTGATTTGCAGTTTCTGTGCAGCAAAAAGGGGGTCAGGATTTACAGGGGGTGATGCAAGAAACTGTGGAGATTTTTATTAATGACCGTGAAACAGTGTAGTGTGAGTTCAAATAAGAGCTCAGAGCAGCAGTGATATGCTGAGGAAAGGCTCAAGCGCACATTTTCCAAACCTTAAAGCAACGTGTTACATCAGCTGAAGAACATGGATGATTCCACTCCCGTCCTCTACTGAAAGAACAAGAGGTTGAAGCTTGAGTTGTTGTTTAAAGAAGTTCTTTTGCTTTCTTTCCAAGCTCCTTATATTGCCATGACCTGGATGACTGAGAACCTACCCAAATGAGTTGCTACATGTTTACCAAAATTAGATGGTGTAAGGGTGAAAAAGGGGCAGCACGGTGGCACGGTGGTTAGCACTGTTGCCGCACCGCAAGAAGGTCCTGAGTTCAATTCCACCATCAGGCCGGGGTCTTTCTGTGTGGAGTTTGTATGTTCTCCCGGTGTCTGCGTGGGTTCCCTCCGGGTACTCCGACTTCCTCCCACCGTCCAAAGACATGCAGCTTGTGGGGATAGGTTCATTGGATAATCCAAATTGCCACTAGGTGTGAATGGTTGTCTGTCCTTGTGTGTTGGCCCTGCGACAGACTGGCGACCTGTCAGGGTGTACCCCGCCTCTCGCCCTATGACAGCTGGGATTGGCTCCAGCACCCCCTGCGACCCTGAAAAGGATAAGCGGAAGCGAATGGATGGATGGATGGTAAGGGTGAAAAACCATCCCTGGTGTGGTGAAAATCAACTCTGGTCTCAAGCAAGCTAAGGGTTATATTTCTGTGTGGAGTTTGCATGTTCTCTCTGGCTTCCTTCCACAGTTCAAAAGCATGCAGTTAGTGGGGTTGGGTTAATTAGTGATTATAAATAGGTGGAATGGTTTTCTGTGACCTGTCCAGGGTGTACCCTGCCTCTCCCACAATGGCAGCCCCACGACACTGAATTGGATAAGCAGAAGAGGATGGATGGATGGATGGATTACTTATTCTACCTATAGCCCACAGTTTCGATGAACACAGCCCTGAAAAATGATGTTTCCTTAGTAAGCACTAGGACACTAAAGTAGTTTTTAGTGGCTTATGTCAGATTGCAGTGCTTATTTAATGCTTCTATTACACTGTCAGGTTTTATTTATTTCACCTTAATTGCTGCACACACTGCAAGAATGTGAAAACCACAAACTAAAAAAGTGTGCAGCTGCTGATAAATGCAAGTCATTCCAGACACATCTCCAGCATCTAAGTGATTTCAAATGTTGACAGTTGGACCTAATTAGGCGTCTAAAGCTAGAGAAACATATTTTTCTAAGGAGTGTTAAGAATGTTTAAAGATTATATGATCATACATAGGGAAATGTGTAAAGAAATGCAAACACCATGATTAATTAGTGGGGGTGTCTGCAGGTGATCACCACACACTATGCAGCTCAAAAAACCTGTGTTAATAAGGTAAGGGAAAAACCAGGGTGAAGACCGTCTGGCAGACACTCACGTCTGCTCATTAGGCTCATTAAGCTCGTTAGGCATGTTGTGCATCATAGTACCTGAAAGCTGTTCTCTCTTCTCTTCCTTCATCTGGATTTAAAGAGATTTTTAGCAGGAAAAGCAAAGGGGGGCAAGTATAAGATTTTGAAAAGTGAAAGGAACGTCAGCCTGATGTCCTCCACTTTTGCAAACACTGCAGTGAATACAAATCAAAGGAAAATATTCAAACAAGTCATCTTCATTATTGTAATAAACCTCACAATATAGCTATAACAAATTACAGTAAGCATCAGCCTTCTCTGTGTTTCGCATGCCTCCATTACTTATGAAGCTGATGACACTGAACAAGGTTCCAAATTAAGCAGAGGCTACACAGACACAGAAACTCTTGAATCTATACAGACAGCATGTTCAAGTCTTTCCCGGTCAACCAGAATTAAGTCACAGAAAGACCATGTGTGAGTCACGTAAGACCTCAACTCTCCTTCCTAATCTGTGTATCTGTTTTTCTGCTTTTTTTTTTTAGTCCTTTCATAATTTTATTTGTGAATTCATCATTCGTTTTGTTGGCTCCTCTCTAACCTTAAACAGGATTGGTTGCCAGTGAATGTGTCACTAACTCATCTTTAGCAATAACAAGGCAGGACAGGAGGATAGCCTGTAGCTCTTTTTCCCCATGTGAGCGTGTCACATGTCTGTCTCAGAGTTTCCCGTCTCTAATGACCTCCCCTTAGTGAGCCCTTCCATATCTACCTATATTTCTGTCTGCAGTTTTGATGTGCCTCTCTCATCCTGCCTTCCAGATGAGTACGTGTAGCAGCCGTGCGTTAACCATCCTGTCCACAGTGTTCGGCGCCTGCGGACTGTTGCTGGTCGGGGTGGCTGTGTCCACGGACTATTGGCTCATAATGGTGGAGGGAATCATCCTACAGCAGAACCAGAGCCAGGAGGTGAAGATGGCGCTCCATTCAGGCCTCTGGAGAGTTTGCTTTGTGGCTGGTAGGAAGATACAGCACATGTATATACATATATGCAAAGAATGACTGAATTCATATTTGATCATCACGCAGTGACAAACACACAGAAAGAGCAGCAGAGTGAGAGAGCAGAAATCAGAGAAAAGACAGCTAGCAACCTTCCGGCCTTTGGAATCATAGCTGTCACAAAACATGATCGTTACCTGTGAGCAGGACTGCAGAGACCCACATGCTCTTTTGATTTTAGTGTGTTTCTTCATGCACCACCGACTTTGATCCTTGACCAACCCCAACATTTTCCACCTTTTGTGGTTGCTCACAGGATCAGAAAATGGGAGATGTGTTGCGTCAGAGTATTTCACCGAGCCCGATATAGAGATCACCACTGAAAACACTGCGAACATCCTGAGTGAGTAAAACACAGCAGCGGCATTACACTTCATCTACTGTGTGAGAGCCTGCGGCGGTGTCCCCCTGCTGACTGTTTGAGGGTACTGATGTTTGAGTGCAGCAGTTCATCAGTGTTAAAATTCATCAGCAGGTTCTGTAAGTTGACAAGTTTGAGAAAAAGAAATCCAAAGATGTTGAATTTAGAAAAATTATTCATCCAGTGATTCAAAGGTTTTATTTTTTCATGGTAAAGACTTTGCATGAGGTATAATATGTTTTGTGTTAAACCCTTCAGATTGCAGTAGATTACCAATGAATTAGTAAATTCAGTGATTTAACTCCATAATCTATTAGATATTTCACTACAAATTTTATTTATATAGCACGTATTAAGTGTAGGACTGTGTTAATAAAAAGGTTTTGAGTCTGTTTTTGAATGTATGCACAGACAATGTATCCACACTAACTGAAAGCACCCTGTGTGGACTGAGATCTGACTCTGAAAACGTAAAACATTTGAGCCTGGTGACCTCAGTGGTCTGTCTGGGTTGTAGAGAGTGAGTGATTATATTTTTGTATATCTGCAATTGCTGTAATGCCATTTATTTATATATTGTTGTCAGAAGTCAGAAAGAAGAAAATTACAAGGAATTAGAGGGGGGGGAAATGACAAATTCCTGTTGTCTCCAAGTAGAAATGTTTGTGTTTTACAAGTTTTATAGGACTTTCCTCGTAGACGTGACCCCATTGTAAAAAAAAAAAAAAGTTTATTCGATTCATGCTCAATTCATCTAGGATGAGACATAAGTCTTATGAAACATGCAAGACATAAAAAAATAATGTAATTTAACTCTTTTAAGGCCAAGATTATCATCTCCTCTCTCCCCAGTTTAAGGTCACATCCTAAAACGTGCATTTAACACTGTGACCTCTCCTTCCTCCAGAGATGGTGCGTACGGCCACGCCCTTCCCGATGGTGTCGCTGCTCTTTGTCTTCACTGCCTTCGTCATCAGTAACATCGGACACATCCGACCTCAGCGTACCATCCTGGCCTTTGTGTCCGGCATCTTCTTCATCCTCTCAGGTGGGACCCATTACTCATGTCCTGCTGTTACTGCTCCCTCACTCTGTGATTGATTACAGCGTCCTGGTGTGTCCTGTGTCACACATGCAGACACTCCATCACAGCTCTATTTCTGGTCTGTGATGCAGGTGTGGGGAGTGTCAATAGAAAAGGTCAATGGATTTGCTTTGAATGTTCCCGCTGGGTTTTTCATTTGACTTTGTCTTGTATAAACTTTATTAACTTGTTAATTAGGAGTAGCTCTTTCTCTAGTGTTAAAAAAAATTGCAAAAAACCTTTGAATATTTCTTAAGCAGCTTAAGCAGGTTTTTCAGCAGCATTTTCTTCATTAGTGCAGCCGGTCTTGTTGAACAGCAGATGGCGTTAATGCTCCCGTTTCTGGTGCTCAGCCTGATCGTCAGTGGCCACATTGGAGCTTGTGTTCTCTGGCGGTTCTTTCTCCTAACACGCACTTTTGAGGAGGAAGCGTGACTGCAGAGCTCAGAGGAGTATCACGCAGAGTCTGATATGATGACTTCGACATGCCATTTCAGAGTATACGAGGTAATAAATGTTATGTAATGAAGGTTACATAATGTTTATAGCCTCTGCTCGAGTGTCACAGTGTTTTACTTTATGCCTTATTTTGATAATAGGGTGATAATAAGGTGCAAGTGTATCAAATTGTTTACATACTCTGCTGCACTAAGCCTCTCTGTGCCTTCCTCCTGCCTTCCCTACTACACACCCCTCTCAACCCTCCCTCCCCAGCCCCTCTCCTTCCTCCTATTCCTTTCCTCACCCCTTCATTCAAAGGATATTATTTCTGAGTCATTGTTGCTGCAGTGGTGTGTGCGGAAGGATGTTCCACTGGCATCTCTGATGCTGTAGTCTGGTAAATATTGTAGTTTGTATTGGCAGGCTGGGTGCAATGGCACCCTGTTCTGGTTAACATAACAGTATTCAGCGCAGGAAATAAAAAAACAGCATGGGGCCACAGATGTTTAATCTTGGTTAGAGGCTCTCCCGCTCTCTCTGTTACTCGCTTTCCCTCCCTCTCTTTTTCTGTTTATCTCTTCCCCCAACAAACACACCACAGATGAGCTGCACGCCTCCTTGCACCATTTACCTTCATGTTTGCTTCCCCTTTGTCTCACACTCAACACTTCTTCTTTTCCTGCCTCTGACTGTGCACGTGCCTGTGTGTTCCTTTGGATTTTCAGGCATTAACTCAGATAAAGATGCACTTCTGCTGCAGGATTGACAGCAGCACGGTTTCTGCATTTCCCACGCGTTTCAAATTTAAGTCAACAACGAAACCAGGCCATTCACGTAGAGGGCATAAGCACTTGACAGCCCTGTAGTGCACTTGAATGTTGCGGTGAAATATTCATATTCGCTGCTTACAGCATGATGCTGTCTTTGAATATTGATACTGTGATGTTGGCCATATGTTGCATCTCATAATTTTAACATAGCCAAAGTAAGGTGGAGGGCAGGTAAGTGTTCCTGGAAAAGAGAGGTTTAAATGTTGTATGGGATGCTTCTGGCTGATTCCAGATCATCCGTTCACGTTTGAAAGGCACTTCTGTTTCCAGTACAGTGAATATATTGAATTTTTCACTATAACATATTCAAGTTTTCTTCTTCTGCCTTAAGATAAATAGCAAGTAACTGTTAACTGTTTAATAAAGAGAAATATCCTTACATACACCTAATCAGAAACAGCAGTCATTATAAGAGAACCTTATAATACTTAAATTATAATTTTCCTCCCAGTAATTCATTTTCCCACCTTTCATACCCTGACATGCTGCCAGTCTGTCTTAGTGAATTAAGTTATTAATTAAGTTGTGCTAACATAATAAGACATTTTTATAATGAAGATTTATTATTATGTATTTATTTATTTGCCTGATGAGGATATGAATGACATACAGTATGCCAGCATGTTCATTCATCCACTCATATATTAAAAAGAATGTGGCTTTCCTTGTAATGTGTTGCAATCCTCACATCATAAAAACTAAAGGATTTGAAACTTTTTTACAGGATTATGTTTGAGGTGGTTAAAGGTGTGTTAAGCACTTGGTTAAAGAAACGCTGGTGTTATGGTTAAACCTGGAAAAACACAAAGGTGGTGTGACAGGTTACGTTGATATATCCTGATATATCCTTTTTAAATCAAATTGTCAAAAAAGTGCTTTTGAATCCTGAACCTAGTTACATGTTAACTGCATGTTAAAATCATTTGCCGCTGAAAGTAATCCACAGTGACAGTATGCTCTATTTTATTTCTTTTTATTTTATTTTTTGCAAAAAGAATCTTATTTTTTAAAAAGACTGTTTTCATTGTAAAAGGAAAAATGTTCAAAGGTCTTTGTGAATAACTGATATGAAATTTCTCGTCTGTCTCTCTGGTGTCTTTTCCATTTCTCTATCAGTGTAAGTATTTTGAAAGCTAATTAGCTGGCGTGGCCCCTCCCCATCTTTCTCTTTCACTCTGCACACATTGGTGTGGCTGTCTGGATCACTTTTGTATGTGACTTTCTTTCTTACGCTCAGTGTCATTGTTAATGTGCTGTGTGCAGGCCTCAGTCTGGTGGTGGGGCTGGTGCTCTACATCTCCAGTATTAATGACGAGGTGATGAACCGTCCCAGAGAGCCTGAGCAGTTCTTCAATTACCACTACGGCTGGTCCTTTGCCTTCGCTGCCTCTTCCTTCTTACTCAAAGAGGTCAGTCGAGGCTCTGTGTGTGCTAGTTAGAAAATTTGGGAAAGAGAGTGAGAGGCCCTTTTCAGACATGAAAACGTGAAGCTGCTTCATCTTTTTGTTAAAGCACAGCATTTTGTCATTCAGACATGGTTCGCTTATACAATATTTTCCTCACTGCTTCATTAAAATATTCCCACTGCATCAGGGGCATCTTCAGATTCCCATTCCTGTGTTAGGTTTCTGCCTCAGAGTATCAGAGTGTGCAAAAGCACTATATTGCCAAAAGTATTCACTCACCCATCCAAATCAATGAATTCAGGTGTTCTTTCCTTTGTACACCTGTGGCCACTTCCATGCCACCTTTACAAGTGCGAGCATGAAATTTCCTCGTGGCTAACGGTCAGCTGTTAGTGGTTTTATAACAAAGTGGAAGTGAGTGGGAATGACAGCATTTTAACTACGAAGTGATAAGCCACGTAAAATCACAAAGCAGGGTCAGCAGATGCTGATGCTTTTAGATTAGCTCGAGAACACTGCATAGAGGGCTTCATGGAATGGGTTTTTATGGACACCCAGCTGCATCCAAGCCTTACATCACCAACCACAAAGTAAAGCGTCACGTGCAGCGGTGTAAAGCACGCTGTCACTGGACTATAGAGCAGTGGAGATGTGTTCTCTGGAGTGACGAATCTTCTCTTCTCCATCTGGCAATCTGATGGACGAGTCTGGGTTTGGCAGTTGCCAGGAGACCAGTAGTTTTTGAGTATAGGGGATTATGGGGGATTCTAGTGTGGGGTTGTTGTTCAGGTCTGGGCTCAGCCCCTTATTTCCAGTGATAGGAAATCTTAATGCTTCAGCATACAAATACATTTTAGACAATTTCATGCTCCCAACATTGTGGGAACACTTTCGGAATGGTCCTGTTCCAACATGACTGAGCACCAGTGCATAAAGGAAGGTCCATAAAGACGTGGATTAGCCCTGACCTTAACCCGACAGAACATCTTTGGGATGAATTAGAAGGGAAACTTGAGCGAGGCCTTCTCATCCAACGTTAGTGTCTGATGTCACAAATGCCCTTCTGAAAGAATTGTCAAAACTTTCTGTAAACACACTCCTAAACCTTGTGGAAAGCATTCCCAGAAGAGAAGAAGCTGTTAGTGATTATTTCCAAACCTCGACCATTATCAGTTCTGTTGTTAGTAATATATTGTGTCTATATTACATATTGTGCTGGTGGTGCAGGGGTTAGGTCTGTCAGCCTCACAGCAGATGTTGGTTTGAATCTTGTGGTGGGCGGGGGACTCCCTGTGTGGAGTTTGCATGTCCTCCCTGTCTCTTCATTGGTTTCCTCATGCTACTACAGTTCTAAGATTCTGGATAAAGCAGATAAAGTGCTTAAGTTGCATTGATTAAAGCATTTTATGAACATGTGTTTAAAAGTGATTTGTACTCTAATGCACTGTAGAAATTTGGGTGGCTGTAGCTCAGGTGGTGAAGCAGGTTACCTAGTAATTGGAAGGTTGGCGGTTTAATTCCAATCTGCATGCCAACTATCGTTGGGCCAAATGCATCCATCAGAGTGTGAATGTTAGATAGAAAAATATTAAGAGCATTGAAAAAAGTGTATCAGAACACAACAGACTCGAAGATCACTTCTAACCAAATTTTCAACACAATCCTTATTTTTGAAAGACATTTATGTTTTCCCATAGTCTCTATGACTCCTTCTTGGTTCTTATTGTGCCATTCCTCTTAAAAATATATATATCCTAGAAACACACCTACACTAATCAATTAAGTTTGCTTCACATCTGTCGAAAAACATTGCCAGTATTGACTGTTGTGAAGTATAACACTTTTGAACACAACAATTTAAAGTGTCCTATCAACACTTTGTTGTTGTTTCCACTAGTGTAACTAAGAGCAGGATCTCTGCAGCTGAGAGAAAGCTGCGATACACCGCTGGCACACAGGCTTCAAGAGAAAGACTTTTCTTGTCTCTTGTGGATTTAGAATAGCAAAAATGCATCATGCCAAATGTCCCCATGTTAGGAGTTTAACAGCTCACAAAGTAACAGAAGACACACGTGAAGTTGTAATATTGTGCCTGCTTTCCTGTAATGTGACTGGAGGTAGTTCAAACTTGTGCTGCTTAAAAATTGACAAGCCAGCATTAAGAAAAAGTGACCATGAAGCTGATGCTGTAATATATGAGAGATGTCTGACAGGGGCTATAGTGTGTGCTTGAGTGTCTGATTGCACACGTGCAACACAGTTTGTATGGTGCAGGTACTCCCTGCTGAGTGTGATGATCTGTATTCTGAAGGTAATGTGAGGTATCAGTGGTTATGATGCAGAACAGCAGGGTTTCCGTACAGCTGTGCTCATGTGTGAATTCGTGCATGGTGCAGTTTCACGTGAGTCCTCATCTTCACATATCCCTTCCTTCTCTCCTTCCTCCTCCCCGTCCTGCAGCTTCCTCTCTCCTGTCATCAGTGGCCCTGCTCTTAATGTGCTGCAGTGGCTGATTCAGTGTAAACTAACTGTCTCCTCTGATTTTTCCCTCGTCTTTTCTTTTCTCCGGACTCCTTGTTGGCTATTGTTTTACCTTTAAATTTATTTTATACATTCTTCTTCATGTCTCCTTTTATTAGTCATTTATAATCACATCCCACACACCTACTCGTTACTGTTTCTTTGAAATGTTGTCTCTGAACAAAATACGCACTGTCACATATAATCTAATCTCGCTCATCTCTTTAGGGGGCCGGTGTGATGTCAGTCTATCTGTTCATGAAACGTTATGCAGAAGAAGAGATGTACCGCCCCCACCCTGCGCTCTACCGCCCCCGCTTGTCTGAGAGCAGCGACTATAGCGGCCAGTTCCTCCAACCAGACTCCTCCTGGCCCCCACCAAAACGTGGACGCAGCACCTCTGAGGCCTCCAGCGACATCTCCATCCAGCTTAACCAGACTCCGCCAGCCCCATCAAAAAGCAACCTCCAAGCGGTTGGTCCGGGCAGCCCACCTTCTGGCTCTTCTTCCGCAGGAAGCTACCAGATGCCCCCACAGCCTACCGGTTATCCCTCCACACACACCCTGCCCAGGTCTCACTCCTCACATCCCCAGGGCCAGGCTCTTCCAATGGCCATGCCTCCATCACCCGTACCTCCCCCTCATTACCACACACACGTGCACATGAGCGCTTCCCCCTGTTAGGAATAAGGAGCTTCAGGAAGGAAAGTAGACTCTTCATAATCATGTACATTTATATGTGATGACAGTAAATGTTGAGCTTGAATTGCAGATCATGTCAGAGGAAGTGGAAGGAGACCAAATATATTTTCAAATTTTAGTTTTGGAGCAAATATGAACTGAGATCAAAGGCAGTTTTGGAGATTGAACGGGAAGCTTTAACAAAAACTGTGGACTGAGAGAAACAAATAGGACAAAACATGGAAGAAGGGAGAAATAAATGGGAGGAAAAAGTGATTCCTAGAAAGACATAGAAGGTTAAGCTGAGTTACAGAGGAGATACCAGCGAGGGAGAGTGAGGCAGACAGAGCGTGGGGCTGCGGTATAATACGGAGATACTGCAGTGCTGCAGGAAATTTGTATGCACTTGGAAATGTACAATGCAAAACACTCTTCACAAAGAGAGAATGCACATAGCTTTTTTTTTAACATACATATACTATGCCGATACATGAACTATGTACATGTTTACCAAATGGCAAATGCAGTTAAATATTCTATTGTCTTCTCTGAATTTAGTAAATCATCAATTCAGTTTCACAACTCACACTGTCAAGTTAGAGTGATCAATATCATGAATTAAAAATAGTTTTAAAAAGAAGTTAAGTAATGCTGAATTGAGAAAACTGTGTATGAATATCGTGTGAAAATAAAAAAAAACACAGAAATTGATGATACAATGAAACATCGTCAGGAGAAATCAACTTACTGTTTTACATCTTTGTATAAGATACAAATTTCTAACTTGCTGTATATAATTGCTCACGAGGGTGTCTGTAGTAAACTGTAAATGAAGCTTTGGCACAAATTACATCAATGAAAGGTCTGACTCATTCTGCTTTGGAGGAAGACTCTGCAACAGGCGCACCACAGTCAACAACACGCCCTCAGGATGCAGGCATGCTGGTTTGAAGGAGGAACCACCCAACAATGATACAGGCGGCTGATGCCCTCTACTGGCCACTGTCCTGCACTGACCCCGGTATCAGCCATGGGTCTGGTTCACTACTTTAATGCACTCTTCCTGCTTCCCTGACCTCCACTGTGTGTCTATGGCTGGTGCAGCACAGATGACAAAGTTACACTCATGTAAGGAATGTATGACGATGATGAGACGAGTGTTTGTGAACGATACAAATCAGGAGTGACACATAACTTTAAAGAATGATTAGAAAGATTTTAAAAGCTTTGTAGCTGTAAATGTCTATCTGGAAAAAGTCACAACTAAGTATTAATTGCATTTTTACTTGCTGCTTAACGAACAGCGGCACACACCATTAAAGGCAACATTTAATTTAACATTTTATTATTGCAGCTTGTTTGGCAGGCATTTGTGACAGCATTAGTACAAAGTTTTTAGAATATCTGAAATAATGTGAAAAACTAAAAAATATAACGTTGATCTCTTTCTGTGTGTTGATGAGTCTCTGAGTGATCCCTGTGTCTATGAAATGCCGACAAATGACGATTAAAAATTTGTTATAATTTTTCATTGCAGTTCCAGAGTTTTCAACATATTCAGCTTGCTCTCAGGCAGGGAACATAAAATCCTCACATAATGATGCAGATTTTTTTTCAGTAATAATTAACATGATTTATAGATTTTAATAGTTGCAGATTAATTTTCTGTTAATAAACTACGGATAAACAGACATCAGCATCTCTCTCTGGGATGGATTCACTGTACCAGCAGACATAGGAGGCTCTTCTGTAGGATGTTTGTAGCCACACATGATTATTTTGTGGTGGTTTTGAAATGTAGTGAGGTGCTTTCTCAGACGGTCTAGAACAGGGGTGTCCAAAATAAGGCCCGGGGGCCAGAATCTTCCCAGAAAAGAGTCCAGTTGTGAAGAAGGATACACATTTTGGATTTTTAACTGTGCTTTCATAAGTTTTACAACTTTTCCTAATAGATAAACATTTAAGTGACAGAAACGTTTACACTTTTCCACTTACTAAAGAAATGTCTGTTTTGTTTTTTGTTTTTTACATTGGATCCACAGTAAAAACAACAACAACAACAACAACAACTGTTTTATAATTACAGGACAGTGGGAAATGAGCTACTAGAACTTTTTCAGTAATTTTACACATTTATTTCTGACAATTTTAGCACAAAGAGTCATGCTGACCGATTTCTTTCATTTACTGCAGCATCATTTCTTTATCACGTAGAAGAATTGAGACACGTTGTTGAAAGTGCACTTCTTTTTCTTATATCAAGATAGCGATTAAAGGCATAGTTAAACTTCTTCACACTGACATAAAGGGGTGTTTCACTGGTCCGGCCCATGATGTACAATGAGTTTGACATCCCTGCTCTAGAAGTTGAACGCTTGTTAAATGATGCAGTATCACAAAACCCAGAGCAAGGCAAGAAGAACCTGCACATCAGAAACATAATTCTTTCCTCTATAATAGACGCATTTGCTGTTTGTTTTAAGGTGCATCTCTCACAGCGAGACATCCCTATAATAATAGTGTATATGGGCTCATTATAAAGATCACTGTGATGCTGGAGAGAGGGAAACACACTGATGTCCTTCACTGCATGAGTGGGATGAAAATTATAGCTCACAGCTCACAAGTATAAAGTGAGATCATTGTGATGTCATGTTTCACCTACATGCAGGGTTATACACTCCCCTGCTTTTTCTTTAAGCACTTGCACACATTGGAATTGAGATGACACCCAGTGTACCTCCAGCTGTCTTTGTTGATTGTGCTGTTGCAGTTAAGGGGTCAAGTGCCTTGCTCAGGCACACCTCAACAGTAGCTGTTGAAGTTTTTTTCTCCAGTCAGTTAAAGTGTGCTTCACTAAATGACTTTGGAGCAGCTGAAAATAACTTTCCCTTTTAATTCTCAGAAGTATTTAATAATACTTTTATAACTCCTAAAGTCCTTTCATCTCTGCAACTCTTTGTTTTTCCATCTCTATCCCTAGCCTCATGATTCGTTTGCCTCATGATTATATAAAAGAGTGTAGCTGTGCTTGCTTCTGCGGAACAGCCTGATCTTCTTCCACATTACCAGCTTTCTAAAATAAAAAATGGGCAAAAGAATCCTTTTTTTAGTGTTTCAAAGACACTAATGCTGTCTAATCTGGTGCTATATGATGCAGGAGAAAGTCACTGCTTTTAAAAAGTTGGTCTCTGACGCTCACTTTGCTCTGCTGCACATCACTTTTGTACAAAACTTTTAATGTGGGTTGATTGTGCTCTGTTTGCACCTCTGTTGTTAGATGTTCAAAATGTTGCCATTTCATTTTAATTATTTTATATATTATAGCACTACTACTACTACAATATTGTAGTCATGTGATTAGGCATTGTCCTGGCTTCTGGCTGCTCTCTTTGATTGAGGGAACCTGCAAGTGGATGGATGCTGTACTGCAATGAATCACTGGGTGTTAACTAGACTCCCTCCTCAGTCATAGCACGCCAGCACAGCCTGAGGGCAACAATTGATCAGAGTGTTGTATGGGTGTGTGTGTGTGTGTGTGTGTGTGTGTGTGTGTGTGTGTGTGTGTGTGTGTGTGTGTGGCTGCATTTGCTGGCATGTGTACTTGTGTTTATCACAGTGAGACTTGAAAATAAGGATAAGAATTAACAGTGAGAGATATAAAAATTTTTTTTTTACTTATTCCTGTCTCCAAAAGCAGGGATGTCTGTGCTGAACACTGTGTCTTTTAAAAGTGTGTCACAGTAAGACAGAAATGCCAGTTTTTGGTGAAGGTCACAAAGGAAGTACAAAAAAGGAGAGCGTCGTGTAGGTGAACTAATAATACTTACAGTGCAACAGCCTCGTTGTGGTTTATGACCAAGCTGTAACTCATATCAATCTTTAGAAAAAAAATTAACACACATATTTCTGACTGAAACCATTATTAATTAAAAATGAAGCGCAAGATGCTAAACATGTGCATAGATGCATAGGAGGTGCAGCATGCCTGGTTTGACATCAGAAAGTCAAACATCCACAGTCAATACAACTAAAACAATTTGTAAACTCTGCTGTGTGATCATCTGGACTGAGGGTTTCCTGTGTGCGAGCGCCTCTCCTGATGAATGAAGCCCGACTGTAGCTGCAAACAAGTGAGATTAAACCGTGGCCTGTGCTTGTTTGGACACTTTTCTGCAATAGTGTACTTTACACCGTGAGCGTGTGTTGACTTCTGTTTTCCCCTGCCTTTTGTTTGTGTGTGTACATACAGAGTTTCATGTGTGTGTGTGTGTGTGTGTGTGTGTGTGTGTGTGTGTGTGTGTGTGTGTGTGTGGTTGTGTGTGTCTGGTGTTTTATCATTGGAACGCTAAAGAGTCATTGTATAGGATCTTACTGTGAAAGTGTGTGTGTGTGTGTGTGTGTGTGTGTGTGTGTGTGTGTGTGTGTGTGTGTGTGTGTGTGTGTGTGTGTGTGTGTGAGAGAGAGAGAGAGAGAGAGAGAGCGAGAGAGAGAGAGAGAGAGAGAGAGAGAGGAGAGAGAGGGAGAGAAGAGGACAGAGAGAGGCAGTAAAGCCATTTTAAAGCTATTGAAGGTCATTGTTCGCTCACTCTGTTTTATGCGCACTAAATGCTGTGTGAGGTCAGCAGCTCTGGCTTCATTTTTATAGATCTGCGCGCGAAATAATCCGATCTATACCATCAGCAGTGAGATCCCACACCAGCTGTGTAATTTCCCCAGATGATTTGATCATTTTACCACTAATATTACAGCGCTACTGCTGAATTTCTGTTTTTGCTGATATTGCTGATACACTGATATTAACCTGTGGATGTTTGATTCCGTCTTATAATCCCCCCTCTCTCTCTTACTCCTCCCCCTCCTCCTCTCTCCCTCTCTCTGCAGGGCTGCGCTTGTGCTCCATTTCCCAGAACTACCAGCGCGGCCCTCATCATCAGCATCATCACTACAGAGGAAAAGTGTCCCACTGGCGCTCCATCAAGTCGCTCTCCAGCAAAGGAAAAAGGAAATATCGACATCAATAACGCTCGCGCACTTACGAGCTGGTCATAATAGGCTACTTACGAGCGCGCAACCATGAGCGTGTGGCACACGCTCCAATAAGCACATCCAGACCAATTCCCTCAATATAAGAGGGGGTGAGGGGGGTCATGCCTTCGTAGTGATCTCGTAGCACAACATAGGCTACTGTGGGAAATTTCATCTTGTGTCGACGATCCAACCTCATTCACATTTAGCGTGGAGTTTTAGTGTGATGCGACAAGTTGCTCGCGCCGCGCGCAGTGTGGAAGAAATCGATGGAGGAGCAGACAGGCGGGCGAGCGCTCATCCAACCGGAGGGGAGGGGGAGACGCATTCTCCCCGAGTACACACAAGCAGCGGCCACATCCACTGTAGACAAATCCGTGTTCAGTGACGTGTTTTGTACTAGCCTTTTTTTAATATATACACACTGAACCATTTTCCATCTCAGACTTAAATTTAACCGGGACCTGAGACTTCACTCTTTTTTTTTCTTTTTGCTCCTAAATTCATGATTTTTAATCACCCCTTTCGATTTAATTATTTATTTTGTTGCCTCGATAGACCCGTTATTTAGCGCCGTCCACCTCCTCTCTCCTGTTCCCTCCATCCCCTTCTCTCTCTGGGAGTGCAAGGCGCTGCAAAGCTCGGAAATTTAAAAAAGAGAGAGAGAGAGAGAGCCTGCAGGTAAGACCGCCGTAAGCTTCTTTATATATAATTGCATTGAGACACTGTTGTTTTGACTTTGCAGCTTAATGAATGACAGTTCATCCAGGCTCATTTTCATAGCACATTGATTTGTTTCACGTTGCCTGCAACTTAACACACTACTGACAGTGTTGATATCGTAATTCCAGAAAAGAATAATAATATTTCTCAGACTTTCACCACCCCTCTCCATCTCTCTCTCTCTCTCTCTCTCTGATTAAATGCTGAATGATAATATTCCCACCTATTTTGCGCGGGCCTATAATTAGCGACCGCAACGTCTATTATGCAAATGATCATTTTAATAGCTCGTTTTGAAGCTCTGCCTGCATTCACGCCGCAGCAGTGGAGACTAAAATATCTGCTGCGTTCACTGACATGATCGGCCGCTTCCCCGAGGATGGAGAGTTATTTCAGCGTGTGCGAATGCGAGTCTCGGTGTGTCATTCGTGTCCCAGTCCGCTGAGTTTTCTCTGTACTGGTCTCTCGATGCTAGGCGTCCATTTTCCACCGTGCAGCCTATGCAGGCAGGGTGATGTGTGTAGCGTACTCTGTTAACAAATGCACCGCAGTCCGCATCACTATAAGTCAGCTCTGCACGCTCTCGGCCCCGTGGCTCTGAGCTCGTATGTGTCTCATCAGTGTGTTATGCACCGCTTTGGAGTGCAGGGCCAGCATCTCATCTTGGCTCCATGTTGAACCTGGGCCACATCATTGCATCAGACGCGTATTTTTTTTCCATTATTTTCCACAGTCTTCTCTCACTGAACAACCTGTGCAGCTTCGACAGATCCAGAGGTAAAGGGCACCGAACACCTGGCACGCGATCAGCCATTCAGTATTCATCACAGCTCACATCATGTCATTGCTAAAGGAGGACTGAAACGTCTTGAATTGGAAATTATGTAGGAGTGTGCACTGCAGTATTCAGGAGTTTCTGTGCACTGTCAGCAAACAGCACAGTGACTTATACCTGTCTTCATTGTGCCTGCAGCCCATGGCAGGTTACAGCTCTGAGTGTTTTCTCAGAAATTTTCATTATTCAATGAGAAATACGCTGTTGTGCTCGCCTACAGTGTTGATGACTGTAGTACAAGTTTATACCCACTAAGCTCAGCTTCTCACTGAGTGCTGCATCTATTCCGTTTGGGGACCAGCCTTTGGTTTTAAAAAGCCAGCATAAATG